TGAAGAATGTCCATTTATCATTACCCCTCCTTTAGTTATATACGCATATTAGTTAACATATTCGCGCGAATAATTATTTAAAAATATTTTTTATTATAAATTAGCACGTACTAAAATAAGAAATATGATCAATACTTAGTAAAAACTATAAAATGTTTATAATAATTATTTAAATTTACAAGATATTCTTTTTGTATTATTTTGTTGGTGTGAAAAGAAAATGTTTTATATATTGGGAGGAAAAAAAGCTAATTTAATTTTCTATTTGTCGCGGATCATCAAATGAAACGTAAATAATTTGTCCTCTTCGTCTTTTAAAAGTATGAATGCTTATTTTTATATAAGAAACTACTGAACTTAGGCCTTTTTAAATATAGTACTTCAATATGATTTATTTAACAAAAAAAACATACTTGTTAGGTACATAATCCTTTATAAAATTCTTTAATTTTTTAAAAAATTGTGCAAGTTAAAATATGAAAATTAACAAAAAGCATGTCAACAGTAATAAAAAGGAAAGAACGACTAACTATCTTAATCAAATAAAATATAAATACAAAAAATTGTAATAGTAAAATTGAAAAGCAATCAATATTAATATTTCAACAAACAACTCAAAACAAAATTATAGTCATTTTTATTTATTTTAATTATCAAAGAATAATTATACAAATAATAAATAGTGAATATTTTAAATCTTGAGGAGTTACAAAACTCACTAAATGTATAATTATTTAGAGAAATCACAATTTAAATAATGACAAAAAAAGCAAAAAATAGGAAAAAAAGAATAAGTAGGACTTTTAGTATATAAGAGTTTTTGCTATTGTTTGTTTTTAATATCATATTGAAATTATTTATAATTTTTTCGTCTTCACACAAATTTAAAAGTTAATTTTTATTTACTCAATATATTTCACTAAAATAATAATTCAATTCATTTTAGTGTGTATTTTGTATGTTCTGTTGTGGTCATTTATTTAATTACTAAAAAGTTAGTAAATAAAAAAAATTATTATTTTAGTACAAAACTTTGAAAATATCGAGTTTTAATAAATAATATATACTCCCTCCTTTTCAAGATAAATGAAATTGTTGAGCCTTTTTTCATAGTTCAAAATAATTGATTTGTTCCAAGTTTAAGAGAGATATTGAAAAATTCTTTCATTTTTGCCCTCATTAACAATGTTAAATAATTATCAAAAATGAATTTTTAAGAACATAATATGTACATAACGTCATCAGAAAATAAATAATTTATTTTTAAATTTATTTAGAATGCTCATTTGTGAAATAGATAAATGACTTAATTTTGAGTAAACTTAATATATCATGTAAATGAAAGAAAAATGAAAACAAGTCCTAAAAAGAGAGAAAGAATTAAGTAAAAAGGAATTGAGGAGACATCTTTATTTAGCAAAAAATATAAATAGATATTGTAAGTGTGAGATGGATCAACCCGCTAAAAAAAGAACAAAGCAACATAGTAGTATTTCCTTTTTAATTTTAAACAAAATTAGAGTATCTCTTGTTACCAAAAGTTTACAACCACAAATAAAAAAAAACATATGCTTCCATGAAAATATTCTGCGTGCAAATCTTGAATAGTTGATGTGCAAATGATAGACTAAAATCTAAATCCATTATATATTGGGAGAACTAATGTAGAGGTAATTAATAGAATCGTAAAAAGGAGTTGAGGAGATATGTCATTTAAGTAGAAAAAGTGAATAAACAAAAGTTTTTTTTGTAATTTACGAGATGTAATTAGCTGGAACAAATATTACAATTCTTTTTAGTTATCAAACAAATTAATTAATGAAGAGAGTAAACTCATTTTTTCAGTTTCATAATCAACTTAAACAAATATCAATTTTCTATAACTTAAAAAAATACATTCATTTGTAATTGGATATTGACAGAACAAATTTGAGTCCCACAATCATATATATAGATTAACTTTACACAAGTGTTAACAAATACGAAACAAAACTTAATGAAGGAGGATCTCATCTCCTTTTTAGTCAATTCAAAATTCATAAAAGAAAAAAATGTGTTATATCATCTAAATTAGAATGAAAAGAAGTGGATAAAGCAAAACAAAAGATGATGGAATATTCTTGATCGAGAAATTATGTCATGTTATATACATAATATATATCGATATAGAATATGAATTTTATATCCAAAAGACAAGTTTATATAATGAAAATATCAAAAAATTTATTTAAGCAACAAAATAATCAGTGAAAAATCATGTTGCCCTTGATACAAAAAGTATGCTTTGTAATATAATCTTGTTCTTGAAGGATACATATCTTGATGGATAAATAATTAATTGAAAAAATATATAAGCAACAATAAGTGCATCTATATATTTGTAAATTATTGAAACTTCTACTTTTTCAAATTTTACTCTGACCAACTCTTGATGAATCTTCCAGCACTGTTAAACTTTCTTCTTCATATTGATGACTTGTATCAAATTAATTTTTAATCATCTCTTTTGATGAATCTTACACCACCTTTAACCTTTCTTCTTCATCTTGAAAAACTTTTGCTTGAATATTGTAACACAAGAAAAAATTCTAAAAAAATATACATATCTATAATCTTCATAAAAGCTGGAAAAAAAAAAAGATATTAACAATATGAAGTTGGAGAAATTAGAAATGGACATGCAACAACACCATATATGATTGTTATTTATAGATGAGAATTAAGTAAAAGAAAGTTGAGAAGACATCTTATTTAATTAGAGAATTCAAATAGATGGAGTTTTTTTGGTAACTTTCATGTGATATAATTATATGTAATAGAATATGATTGTAATAAATTGATTAATGAAAAACATGAATGAAAAAACTCAAAAAAGAGAGGATAAAGATAAATAGTTTTCTAGGTCATTAAGTGGTGCCACATCATCTTGTTTATATCTAGCTTTATTTTATATATATATTTTTTGTATTTAATTAAATAATATACATTTTATATACATTAAATAATAAAGATAAAATACTTAAAATATTCAAAAAATATTTTTCTTTCGTAATTGTAATTAGAAGAAGGACAAAAAATTAAAAAAATATTTTTTTCTTAATAATATAAATTAGAGAGGTATGAATTATGAATAATTACTCTTTGTAAGTTGGCATATGAAGAGTCTTTGTTGTAAATGTTTTTCCATTAATATAATACTTATTGTAATAAATTAAATAATGACTTTTGCAATAAAATAATTAATTTAAATAAAAAAGAAAATCCATGAAAATGAGAAAAAAGATAAATACATGTGGAGATCATAGAGAGGTGTCACATCAACCTGCCTATGATTCTCCTTTCTATTATATTAAGATTAAGATAAGATTAAGATTATGTATCGATCCACGAAGGTTATTTAATTACTATTCTCTTCGTTTATTTTTACTTGTCATGTTGCATTATTCGTAAGTCAATTTGAATAATTTTTGAAGTTAAATTAGATTACATTAATTTGATATTTTAAACAAAAAACTGTAAATACTCCAAAAACTATACGAAAAGCTAAGTACTATAAATTGCCATTTTTGGCATATCAAAATGCTGAAAAAATATATCATAAAATGTAAGTCAAATTTTTTATAATTTGACTCTAAATGAGAAAATTATGACAATTAAAAATAAACTAAGATAATATTTATCAAACAGTAATAAATTAGCAAATATATAGTACAAGTTATCTGTGCCATGTACTTAATTAGACTCCACAAAGACATCATGGACCTAGTTATTCAATCATGCCTAAAAAATAATTTTAACCATGTATAAAGGGTATACATATTTTAATTTTTGAACGACAGAGACAGTAATATCTCAAAAGTATGACGGATGATATCTGCATACCATTTCTGATAATTCGAAGATATATTTATTCTTTTTTCCTTTAATTTATTTTATTTATTACTTATGAAAAAAATAAAAATAACATGTATTTGTAAATATATGGACTGATTTGCCCTCCCTTAAATCATGTTCTTTTAATTAATAGGAGGGCAATATAAATCATGATTTTAGGGAGGGCAAATCAGTATTACTTATTTTGCTGATATCATAATAGGAGAGTAGTTCATCAATTTTTTAGACTTTGTGAAATATTTATCGATTTGAAGACTCAAAAAGAACCCCCCCCCCCCGCAAGATACCCTACTAATTAAACACTTAACAATTAACATTACCTCAATCAAAGTTTATCTCGTATATAATTATAGTAGTCTGCTCAAACTAGAGCTAAATTTTGGGGAATATAGTAACAAAGATTTTCAAGTGAAAAAATATTTCTTAAAGTTTATAAAGATTCTACTCGAATGAGATGAGTTAAAACGTCAAAATTTATCGTCATTGTTTCCATAAATAAATAAGTATGAAAATAATATATGTAGCTTATCGGACGTTATTTTTTTAAAAAAATAAAATAAATTATTATAGAAGAATTATACGTAACATCTACATTAATAGCATGGTTTTAAAAAAATTGAAAAATAAAAACCACAGAATCTAAATATATATATATATATATATATTATTATTCTGCTACCTTTTCTGGATCTTGTCCAATAGCAGTATATATAGAAACACTTGGGAATCTAGGGTTCTATTTATATATATGGATTAATTTTCCGTTGGGTATTAATTTACCCAACTAACATAATAACAACGATAGGTTCCACAATTAGCAGTACTAATTACCAGATATAAACTGGAAGAAGAAATTCAACCAATTAGAGAAATCAAAATGGAAGGGGAAAAAATAATAAAGAATGTAGATCAACGTAAAAGGAAAATGAACCATGCAGATATTATACGTACACCAAAAATACATTATCTCATTTTCCTTGTACGTGTTAGTGTATTTAATGCACATACCATATGGGGAACTTGTTGATCAACTTTAAATACGAATAGATCCATCGAAACAATTTCATACAAGTTTGAGATTGAAAAAAACAGTCGAATAATTAATCATGAATGGATTCACGAATAATGGCGATAAATGCGTTAATGTTTTAATGTTTCCATGGTTAGGTTATGGTCACATCTCTCCGTTCCTAGAGTTAGCCAAAAAGCTTAGCCAAAGAAACTTCATTATTTGCTTATGTTCTACGCCAGTGATCCTGAACTGTATCGAAAAAAAACTTAGCCCGGAATTTTCACCATCGATCCACCTCTTGGAACTTAATCTCCAAAATTTACCAGATCTTCCTCCAAGTCACCACACTACAAATGGCCTTCCGCCTCATCTCATGAACACTCTCAAAGAAGCTTTTGACTTAGCTAGCCCCGATTTTGCCCTAATTTTGAAAACCCTAAAACCCGATTTATTAATTTATGATTTTCTCCAACCGTGGGCTCCAAAAGCTGCAGCTGAATTAAAAATCCCAGCAGTTGAGTTTATTAGCAGTAGTTCCACGATGACAGCTTACATGTTGCATGAGTTCAACAAGCCAGGTATAAAATTTCCATTTTCGTCTATTTGTTACCGCGATTATGAGAAAGCTCGTATTGAGAAACAAGAAGCAACTATGTCTGTGGAAAAGCTTGAAGAAGATAAAAGGAGAGTTAGAGAATGTTTTTACCTATCTTGTGATATTGTTTTGATTAAAAGCTTTAAGGAGATTGAGGGTAAATATAGTGATTATATCACTAATTTAACTGGTAAAAGAGTTGTACCTCTTGGTCCTTTAGTTCAAGAACCTACACTTGAAGATAGTGAATCAGAGTTAATAACATGGTTGAATGAAAAAGAGAAGAGATCCACAATTTTTGTATCTTTTGGGAGTGAATATTTTTTGTCAAAAGAAGATTTTGTAGAGATTGCTTATGGGTTGGAAAATAGCAAGGTTAATTTTATATGGCCAATAAGGTTCCAAAAGGGGGAAAATCTTGAACTTGAAGAGACTTTGCCTAAAGGTTTTTTCAATAGGGTAGGGAATAGGGGAAAAGTTTTTAATGGATGGGCCCCACAAGCAAAAATTTTGGAGCATTCGAGTATTGGTGGATTCGTGAGTCATTGTGGGTGGAGTTCTGTAATGGAAAGTATGAAATATGGGGTCCCGATTATCGCGATGCCTATGCATATTGATCAACCAATTAATTGTAGGCTTGTTGAAGATGTTGGCATTGCTGTAGAAGTTGTGAGGAACAGTGATGGAAAGCTTCATAGAGAGGAAGTTGCAGCCATAATTAACCAAGTTGTGCTCGATAAGGATGGTGAATTTGTAAGGCAAAAGGCAAAGGACATGAAGGAAAAGCTTTGTATGAAAGGAGATGAAGAAATTGAACAAGTTGCCAAGGAGTTGAGAAAGCTATGTGCTAAATTCTAGGAGTAGTATTTTTTCACGTAGATGCTTATATTATATAGTATAGTATAGTAGCTAAGGGTACTTTTGTTCCTCTTTTTGTTAGGATCAAATCTTACTTAATAGTCTTTAAATTTCATTTGTCTACTTGTTCTTTTTTCAGATATTGGTTATCGATCCTATTGACTTAATATAAATTGTAGAATTAGTCTTGCATTTCTTTTATTTGTATTTTCCATGATCAACAATGTGTCTATTTAAAAGATATGTGAGCCATATATAGTCTCTAAGTTTTCTAGTTGAGGGGTATTTCAAACTTATTTATCAGAATTGTTGATATTTTTGTTGGGAGAAAGGTATTAAACCTGGCTAAGAATATGCCAAATATTCTGCTTCTATTAAAATTTTATTTAGACTGTGACAAGTCACTGACAACATGTAAAATAAGCTAAAATCTAGTGGAAGTCATAGTTTAGTGGAACACTACAATTTACAAGGCAGTAGAGATGTGTTTGTATTATGTTCATGGTTTATAATGTTTGAAAGAGTTAGCAGACTCTTCTATCTGTAAAAACTACCACTTAAAACCAAACTGTCATAGATGAGCCTCTTTCCTTTCCAATATTTCCAGCTTTAGGAGCTAAAATCAGGCTCAGCTGGCTTCTGAAGCAGCAAGGGACTCAATCTGGTGAATGATTTGGAACCCCTTGGATGGTTGCGCCTCAAGGCACGCAACGCATTAGCAGCAAACCTTGATGCATAAATGGTAGCTCCAAGACTTGGTAAATTTGCTGTCTCATTTGCTAATGCAGCCTGTAGTCTATCTTCTTCCTCTTTCAAAGATTTCTCAAGCTTGTTCCTGCAGTGTCGACGCCATGCTGCTTGTATGAAGCAGGCTGCCCATGTCCTCCAATGCTGTGAATAGAACCTGAAACAGCCCAAAGTACATTGAAATTGCTAATGGCCTTCTCCAAAACTGATGTCAGTACAAGTGTTCTGAAATTGAACAAGAATTTGTGTACATACCTGAAAGTATGCCGAATCTGCTTGCTATGAAGACGTCTGAATTGAGCTGCGACAAACTTGAGATCATCAGCTGTGAGAGCAAAAGCTTCGACATCTATGACAGCTTTTACTGTTCTAGTTGAGGAGGGAAGAGTCGTGGAAGAATGAGGATCCAAAGCCCATGTAAGAAGCTCCTCTCCACAGAAATCACCAGCTTTGAGAGATGCAGAGTTGAAGAAACCAGTTCTTCCACCATTGGTGGTCATAGTCAATAAAGTACCTCTCATGAGAAAAAGCATCTCACTCACTGGATCACCTTCTCGGATAATGAAGCTATTCTCTGTGAAAAGAGCTGGTTTTAGTCGATCACACAATGCATCCAGCAACTGTTCATCCATCTTCTCAAACATGGGAACCTGCATGTGAAAGATCAAATAAGATCAACAGTTTCAAGAATGCAAGAAAGGGCATGATGAGCACAAAAATAGGCACTCACTCTTTTGAGCAAAGACCAACATAGATGGCGTTTTACATCTCTTTTCAAGTCTTTGGGAAGGTTAGAAATTAGATAGTCTTCATCAACACCTCTAGTTTCTTGCCATTTGTACTGCTCATATCTTCGAATACGCTCTCTCAGGTTTTCAGGAAGCATGCGGTGAGACATCCACTGTTCTGCATCTCGCCTTCTCAATCTCATTCCTTCTACTCTAACTGTGATAGACTGCAAATATTCCTGTAGCCAGAAACGAATGCAACTTTAGTTGAGTTCAATTCTCCAATGTGAAAAAGCTTCATCTATTCCTCTAGTTTGGCTAATGTGAACTCACAACTTCATCTTGAAAACAAAAGGGGTTGAATCTTGGCACTGCCAAATCATTGATTTATTCAAACTTTCTTATAGCTCATAAACTAAGAGGAAGAGATTAAAGTTACTCGATGCATATCAATGCATTGAATATGAAGAATTCTCACTTTAAAACAGAGTTGACTTGTTCAAGACTTAAAGGTAAGAATAGTGATGCGTACCTGCATGTTGCCAATAAGCAACGAGAACAGAATCAGGCCAACAATGCAGATGAAGACGGCAAAGAGAATCTCCCATACAGAGTTGCTTGTCTTAAGGTCTTGACCAAGAGAACTGAGATACATAAGACAGAAGAATCTGTTTAGCTGAGAGAAAGTTATCAAATGATTTGTCAGGATTAATGAAAAAACAGAAAGCAGGACGACAGACCTTAAATTTCGCAGCCCCCACCAGAAGCAATAGGAGAGTTTGGACCAGAAGTTTCTTTTTTCAGCAACTCGAGAATGAAGAGCATCAAGAAATATCCCAAAATCAAAGTCATGCTCTTGTACATCTTCCGGTTTCAGGAGAGGACAAGAAGAATTTAGAAATTGAGTGTTTGCTTTCCCTAGATGTCCACAACAGATGCTGTCTAGCACACACTTTTTAATACCCCTACATACCTTGCGCCAGCAGTCATCTTGTCTTTCTATTGTGATCAAATACCAAAACGCTCCAACTACCTGAGTTCAGACATTTGCGCATGTGAAGGGAACCAAGAACATGTATACGTAATGTAACATCAGTATTGATCTCAGAAATGACTTATTTTTGCAGAAGGCATGTAAGAAATTCTGCAAACTCTGACCATATTATAACTTAAAGCACAACTGATATGTGATGATTGATGACTGATATAAGAAAAACATACATTACTGGCAATCATGAATAGGAATAAATTGAAAGCAGCTCCAGCCCATGCAGTTTCAGTTAAAAATCCCGTTGTCCTTGTTACTTCCTTGTATAATGGGTATATCCTAAGGGATCTTGGAATATATTGTGCAAGTATAACAATCACCAACTGTTTTCTCGTCACCAAAGAAATGGGACGATTTGTGTTGGGAGCGATGATAAATAGCACCATCTGTACCAACAAAGTTTAAAGTATACATGTTACATAGATATCATACTGTCTCAATTTAATCTGTACAACCTATACAATGGAACTAGACACAAACCTGTGGGAGTGGAAGAACGGCTAAAACGTCAATGATGAAATAAGGAAACAAGTATCGCTTGGCTATAAGAGAAGAGTCCTGAATCAACTCACCCCTACCAAATACTCGAGAAGAAGGAGTAATAAAGCCAGTGCGAAACTGCAAGATGATATGATAGATATAGATAAGATCGGAGACTGATCTAAGAATAGAAATAGGGATCTTCAATGTACGATCCAAATCAAGGCACTTTCTCTTGTTATCAATGACAGGAATGTAGAAAAACAATGGATCAATGGCCAGTGAAATAATACAAGCGAAGATAAATACTTTGTTCCAGAACTGAAGAAATGGTTCCTGAGGATCAAGAATTTTGTTTCTTGATGATCCTGAAACTTCTCCTGAACTGTCACTTAGGAAAGGGGTGCACAGTGATTTTCTTAGTAAGCCACATATTCTATTGGAACCCCTCGCAGTTCCTCTTCTAATAGTACTTATGCATGAGCTGATCGATGATTTTCTGACTGAAAACATCCCATTTTCTTCTGACTTGCAGTGTTCAAACCTGAGAACAACAGGTCATATTAGATAGACAATTCTATGCTATAGCACTTGTACAAAAGGTACTATGAAAAAAAAAAAACTTGAAAATGTACATCTGATAAGACCATTCATGTTGTGTTAGTTCACAAGTCAAGGGCTGCAAAATACAGGATAGAGGATGCTGATTATCGAACTAACCTCACATATTTTTCTTCATTGAGAATCTTCATTTTCAGCTTCTGCTATACTGTATGCTCATCAACTTCTCTATTCCAGAAGGAAAATGGCCAAACAATTCCTTCCTTTTACACTATTCTACTCTCCTAGCATAGAGCCCAACTCTTCCAACTGAATGAAATGCAAACTAAATCAGTAATTTTTCAATGACAGCTTATCCAGGAATGAAACAATTGTATAACATTGAAACTGTAACTTGAATTCTATAAGATGATTCTTTAAGTTAACTCAGCCATTTATTTACACAAAATCTCAAAATGCTATGTTATGCAACATGAACATACATAAGAACTCAAACTTAGTATAGTAAATTTCAAGTGTATGTATATATAAAAGAAAGGTAAAAGTATAGACACCTTGAGAAAGTGGATTGAAGAGAAACTAATAATGTAGAGTACTTTGCTCAGGGGTATATAAGAAGGTGGATGATGAGCAGGTTCCTAGAGATTGCTGTTATAAATAAAAAGTACAATTGGATCATTGCAGGGGAACAAAGAAACTCTCAAGACTACAGTCACAAGTCAATGAAAAGCTGCTAAAAAGGAAAATGTTTCCCTGTTCTTGAATTTCCACATGTGTGTAACCTTGGACCAACTTTTTCCATTATTTAAATATTACAACTTTTTTTTCAAAAGAAATGTGAGTGAACCTTTTGAAAATTTTGGAGGAAAATGTATATTATTGATCTAGAAAACAGGATATTCAATTAGAGTTGGGTACATTTCTTTTGCTCATACTTAATATTTTTATAGTGAAGGGCGGACCTACGAACCCACTTTGTTGAAAATAACACCCTATATTTATTCAGTTTTTGAAATTTTATAGGTATATTAAATTTTGACTCCATTTAGCACAAAGTGTGACGCTTAGCCTAACAGTGAAAAGGGTTCAGTTTGTCCAACCAATCCAAGTTTAATTTTCGCTTCCAACGTTATTTATTTTATTTTATATCTTGAATCCATGCACAAGGTATACTAATTTCATTGCAGAATTATGTTATCCTTCGTGATGGAATAAGTTATTTTATATACGGTATACATGATGGAATAGGATAACGTGTTCTCAATCAAATGATTCATACAAAATTTAAATTCTGAATCTGCCTATAGTGTTGCATGGATAGACTGTGTCAAGCCGTGTTATGAAAAGATGTTTAATCAAAGTCTTATAATAAGTGACAAGTGATAGGATAGTTATAAAATAAATCACACGGTTGAATTTCATAATTAAGATAAGAA